ACTCTGGTCTACTCAGGTAATCACTGTTTGTACTTCAGAACAAGGCCAACTCCTGAGTGTGGTAAAATCATGTGATTCTATGCAAAGAGACTTAAGAGTGAGATTGGATAGAAGACAATTTGCAAAGACCAAGGAAGGTCAGAGGTGTGGATAGCCTAGTAACTGTGACAAGACATTCGTCCTAGATTTAAGTGCTACGATGTCACAAGTCACCATCATGGAAATAGTTAGATGGCACAAGTGTGAAATCAAAACGGCTACTTCATAGAAGACATTTTTTAACATGCCAGCATCACTCTGTCTGGAGAGAGAAGGAGGGGACAAAATGAGTTTCATCTCCAGACAGACTGCAGTTTAAGAGCTTTAGCATGCACACATCTGTTATCAAACACAATGCTCATAAATAGTTGCCTTGAAGACCAGGGACTTCTCATGGCAATAAGTACTATATTTGACAGTAAACACTTGCAGGAACAGGCTCTAAACAATACACACATTCAGCAACAAAGAAAAGTTACAGGATAGTTACTGAAGTTTTAAATAAATTATTTTAGATGTTTGCAAAATACCATCCGTGGTTCACGACCTTAGCTCCTTGAACAATAAGCTATACATTCTATTTCTCTAAAATTTCTCACAATATAACAGTTGGGGTAGTTGAAAAATACATTAACTGAAAAGACTCAGATGTCTTATCTTGGCATCTTCATCCACAACCCCAAAAATTTTATCTGCAAGTCTAGAATGGCTGAAGAATGCTTTAGGAAATAAATGCTGTAAAGTGGAAAAAAAAAATAGTTTAGTGTTGCCTGCCTCCACCCTCAGCTGTGCAGCTTCCTCCTGCCCCAGTGGCAAGGGAGGGGAAGTCTGGGCGGACGTGGCCTTGGCTGGATAGGGAGGAGGGGCTCCTACGCTGCGGCCTTGGCCCGACCCTCCTCAGTGGCTGGGGGGAAGAGCCAGGGATGCCTAGAGAGGGAGGGGAGTTGGTGAGTGTAGCGAACAGGGGGCTCAGCCCCCTAGTATTAATGTAAAATAATTCTATAGGCATCAATAACCACCTTGCAAAGATCTGCAGACACTAGAACCCCATACTGAAAATTAAGGTATTCTACAACGTAAGCTTTTGCCACTGTAGATGCCTGTGAGAGCTGGAGGTACCAATACACTTAAAAAAAGTTAAAGGGTAGATGAAGGAAATGTTTGACTTCTCTTAATATGGAACCATACCAGTTCCATGCCATACACTTCAGAAAAGGAACATCGAGAAAGCGCCTCCAGTCTGGGAAATACTTTCAACATTTGTCAATTACATTATTAAATTAGGAGTTATGCTGGCTTATATTTGGCTGCCTGTTTTGGTTCAATATTTAACATTCATCCGTATGATAAAACAATCCTGGATATTGATAGTAATTCAAAGTGAATGCCTTGGTTGAGCTATTCAAAGTTATCTGGTGGTTATAGACATCTTCTATTAAACTTTTAATGAAAATTATGACAAATCCCTCGACTGCTTTAAAAAAACTCATTTACTGTATGTTGGGGAAGGAACAGAATACAGACATTTACTCAAAATTAATTCTGATTCATGTTTTTGTTATGCAGTATGTTGATGTTTAGGTAGGCTTCTCTGAGTTTGAAAATGGACCACACCATCATGTGCAAACCTACAGCTTTTAATAGAGCTATAACCAGAAATCTTTTAAGTTCTAGGTAAGAGCAAGCTAAATGATTAACCTTCTAGGTGTAAGCTACCTATCTATGCCAACTACTTAAAAGAAAGTTGAAGATGAGAAAATAAATCAACTTAAATCCTCTGTAAAAGGGAGGTTCTCTCTCATCCAACATAGTAGTTTGTTTCTTTGGGTGGTTTTAAACAACAAAAACACCACAAGAATATTTCAAAGAATGAAGATGAATCCTTTACATACAGAATGAAATGGAGTCAATGAAAGTATTTTATTGCCATTTTGATCTGAAAGTGTACTTTCTCTCATATATTCTAAAGCACCATCACATCAATACTACACAGTCAGATAGAAACAAAATAAACCTGTTATGCATTTTTCAGATAACATCATTTGGACACATCAACATGAGGATAGTTTTGGCCATGGTCTAAAATTGTGTCTTCAATCATACCATCACAATAAGTTTCCACAAGGTTATGTATAAAATACCTTCCTGCCCATATTAACAGAGTCAGTTTGAACTCCCTGATAAGTTTGTGAGTAAAACCAAAAGCACAACTTGTTTACAATAACAGACCTTTAATAGAAAAAATAAGCTGTTCTGTCTTGCTCTTCAAAAACCTTAATTCTATCTGGCAAAACAAGTTGGAATTTAATGAAGTTATCTATAATGAATTAAAATATTTTAAAGCAAGATTAACAGACATTGCATCAACAACGTTTCTTTAAATCTCAATATGGCAAGAAGGGTTTGGAAGCTGTTATTGGGAGGAAGATACAGAATAAGATGAATGATGGAAGGGTATTATTGACACAACCATATTAACAGCTAAAACAGAAGAGCTGGAGGAATTCAAGAGTACATGAATTAAAATGGCCTATACATTCAAAGTCCATTTAATCATTTGTAAAGCTCTGTGCTAAAATGCATAACTATACTCAATGGTGGTTGTTGTTTGCACCAAAATCCACGAATAAAAAAAAATGTTAATAGGTTGGTTTATAAGTTTCCCACTTTTCACCCCCTCCTGCTAGCCTATCAATAAAGTGTTTACATGTTCTTCCCCTATCAATCTTGTTTTACTTATATTACTTGTTTTAGTTATGTTAATGAGTAATTTATAATAAATCTTGATGAATATTGTCCTGTTCTATGTTTTTCCACTAATATCACACTTCGCATTTCAAGCACAATAACCTTGATAGCTTCTTGAATGTTATATTTTATTTGACTTCCAACTCCCAGAAGTAGTCTTCCAATGGTACCCAACCTGCTCTATTTGAATTTAAAGAAAAAAAAAAAAAAGAGAGAGAGAAAAGTTGGGAAGAAAGATGGAGCAGTTCCCTATGGAACACTATTGAGAAAGAAGTAATTGATCTCTCTCTATAACACACTAAAAACATTCATTTTGTAAAGCATACAGGATATACAAAGTTACTTATAGGCAGTCTACAACAGCACTAAGCAACCATGAACTGCATTTATTCAACTGCAAGAAAAGTTAGCGCCTAGCTTAGAGAGCAAAATCCAGCTCCAACATAAATGCCAGTTTTCACTGGTGAATTATGTGGGTAAACATTTTGACTTTAAATTATCTTGAAACAGTTACATATAAGTCTATCACGTTAGTTTTACTTCAAGATGGCAGTTGCATATTAACAGGCCTTTAAGAAAGAGATGGGACCGCCACATGCATAGTACTGGTGAAGGCTTTTAAGACAGAATAATAATAATAAAAAAAGAATTGCAGTTTTGAAATGTATTTGATATATGATGCACTGTAGTCTAGTAGTTTACTTCTCTTAGGAAATTTTAATGGTTCCACGTCTATTACTGAAGAACTTTGTAAGGTTAAAGAAATAACTGAAAACCACAATACCTCCATTGCAGGAAATATAGAGGATACACATTCCAAACTGATCTTCTAATTTGGACCTCAGTTCTACTCAACTGACATTTTGTAAGAGAGGTACAAATTATAGAAAATTGACACAGCCAGTAAAATACATCATACCTAATTCCACTTAACCGTATCTCAAAACCTACACAAAGGCAAGCATATCAGTCTGTTTCTCACCCAGAAGCTTTAAAAGCAAAGCACAGTATCAAAAAGTTAAAATGTCACCTTGGAGCACAAGTCAGATATTTATTAATGGAAGTTAGGCTTATCAGTAAGTAACTGTAATGATTCCAGAAAAATCTGCAATGGTGCATGTTATCCAAGTCGGCAAAATAATTTTAGTTTCAACTACGTTAGCTGCATTGCAGACAATACACCAACAGAATTATACTGTAAATTTAAACTTTGAAAATAAAATGTTTATTACTAAAGTCGCAACATGTACCAAGATGCCTGGGAAGCACTAGAAAGTCATTTTTAAGAGGACTTGTTTTCCTTCATCTTCCTAGGCTAAAACAAACCTAAGGGGGGAAAAAAAAATCAACACTACTTCAGATAATAGGGAAAATATGCACAAGAATTTGCCTGAAAATATAAGCTTGACATCTAATTTAGAAATTCATCATTCATAGACTGACTTCGAGGAATTCTTCTGGAAGCCAGTAGGGGGTACTGTGGTTAACTGAAATGTAAGGGTATGGGACTGAATGTTAGCCCAGTGCTAGGACTCAAAAGTCTTGGAGCCAGTAGGACAGAGGCATGCTCTCTTGTTGCGGTTCAACACAGCACACTGAAATTCACAATGCTTTTCAGATTTCTGGCATACCCACCATCATGTTTCTTAAAGAAAACATCCTTCAGCCATGATGTGGTCATGACAAGGGCAAACAGGTTTGTACAACAAACCTGGCATTGCAAAAGAGGATTCAGCAAGCTTCCATTTCAGTTTTTGGATCTTTTGGCATGGTAGCACCTCAATACTGTATTGAAGATATACACAAAAATTCCAAAAGCCTACATTATCATTTTTATTTAAACACCCATTCTGACCTAAGTCATCCAGTTCTTTTTCAAGGGACTGTATTGAGTTGATACCTTTCTAGTGAGCCACATTCTTCAAACAAAACAAAACCAAAAAAACTGCTCTAGAGCATTCTGCAAGTGCAGCACAGAGCATTTCATCTTTGCCAACATTTTGGTGCATCAGTTTCCCCCCCACCCCCACCACCTCCCTAAAGAGAAAAAGACACGCACATTCCAAACAAGCCTCACTCAGCAGGGCTCACCCCATTCACCTCCCTCTCCCTTCCTCCGCCCCGGGCCTTGCCGGGCTCCCTCTGATTTTAGGTTTCATTTTGTTGTAAACAGCAAAGCGAAAGGAGAATGCTGCCAAAGCAAGGATCCTTACCCTTGAAATCCCGCCATGCGCGCAAGAAGGAGGGTGAACTGCTTTTCCTCCTTTTGGGGGGGCGGAGGGGGTGGGGAAGGAGATTAGGGATGGGGGGAGAGACAGAAAAGCACGGACGGATGAAACATTAAGAAACGGAGAGAGCCAGAAGAGAGCAGCCTGGTGGAAGAGCAGGGCGAGCGTCAGCCATGTTGTGTGTGTGTTGGTCCAGTATTTACAAACCTGCAGCTGCAGCAGCGCTTGGAGTCTGGGAGAGAGGGGAAGGAAGGGAGAGAGGGAGGGGGAAGGGCGAGGGGGCGGGAGGGAGAGAGGTACCGAGGCAGGCAGGCAGAGAGGGAGGAGGGGGAGCGCGGCGGCCGC